TCGGAGCCGCCGAGGTGGATCTCGCGCCGCTCCCAGGGCGTGGACTTGACCGCCGCGCCGACGTAGGGCCAGTAGTTGGCGCCGGAGATGCCGAGCCGGAGCAGGTCCTTGTAGTAGCGCTGGAGCGCCTTCTTGACGCGCGCGTCGCTGAACACGCCCTCGTGGATGAGCGTGTGGACCTCGTGCCGCGACTTGAACTCGAGGAACATGCCGTACACGCCGGGCGCCTTCATGTCCGGCGTGACGAGCGTGCCGTACCTGGAGCGCGGGGACGCGTTCGTCGGCGCGCGATTCGGCGATTTGGGCGAGTTTCGCGGGCGCGCGTTTCGCGCGACGCCGTCGCGAGGCTCCCGGCGCGCGGCCGCGACGCGCGCTCGTCGCTTTTCTCGGACGCCGGGCGCGCACGTCCGCGGGTCCGTCGACAGAACCCACGCGTCGCCGCCGTGGTGCGCCTTGCCGATGAGGTCGAGCACGCGCGGGTACTTTTGGTAGAGCGCGGTCACGTAGTCGTCGTCGTGGAGCTCCGCGACGATGTCGTGGCCGTCCTCGAAGGCGAGCGTGAGGTGGTCGAGGCCCGAGCGTGTGGGGTCGGTGCGGAAAGCGAGGGCGCACGCGTAGAAAGTGCAGAAGTTGCTGAACCGTTTCGTCGACGGGAGCGACGGCGAGCTGTCGTTGGCCATCCGAGACTTCTGCTTCAGGAGCTCGAGTGTATTTAGCGCCGTGCTCGACGGTCCAGGGAGTGCAGCGGCGGCGGCGAGCGTGACGAGGGCGAGAACGACGCGACGCATCGAGCGGTCGCTTTTTTACCAACGTCGCTCGGGTCGCGCTCGAGCGGTGTGCTGCAAGGCATCAACAAGGTCGACTCAGCGAATAAATTGAAGCGAGCCATTAGATTTCTTCTCGATCGATGAGAGGGCTGCCCGCCTTGGATCCGGTCGGGTGCAGCGTGCTCGCGGTGCCGGAGCGCGTCGGCTGCGTCGTGCATCGTCGACGCGCCGACGCAGCTCGCGGCGCAGCTCGCAGCGCTCTTCGCGCGCGAGCTCGACGGCGGCGGCGCCGTGGTCGTCGACGCCGATTCCGGAGGGCTTCCAGCTGCGCGACGCCGTGGGGTCGCGGCGACTTCGGGCTGGCGCGACGGCACGGAAACACAGTCGCGCGGCACTCGTAGGACACGAACGTCGCATCGTGGCTCCTCGCCGTGGCGCCGCAGCAAACCTTCGCGACGCGGCGCGCCGCGACGTCGCGCAGCCGCGCTGGACCGCGCGCGGCTGGACGCAGCCCATCGGCGCGCCCACGAGCTGCGCGATGACGAGCTGCTGGCCCCACGAGCTGCTGGCCCCACGGGATGCGCTTCGGCTCGAACCCGGCGACCCGCCGCCGCACGGCGGCCGCGACGGAGCGCGCGAGCTCCGGCGCTCTCGCCGCCGGGAGGGCTCGCCGGGCGGCCTCGGCGCGTCGCGCGGCTCAGGCGGCCGCCGCCGTCGCGACGGAGCGCGCCGCCGCCGACACCCGCCGTCCACAGAGGCTGGTTTGTGGCCGCGCGCGCGGCTCACGCGACGTCCGCGAGGCTCGCGCACGCGTGTGCGTCGTGCGACGGACGACATTGTAAATAGGGCCCCCGAAGGCGCGCCGGACGAATCGGACGGGGGAGTGGGAGAGAACGGAGGCGCTGTGGCTGCAAGTGACGCCGCTAACCCAACGCTTCGGAGAGCTCTGGCGACTCCGAGGGCAAGTTGAAGAGGACGAATAAACAACATCCCCAAGTTACGCCGGCTGGTCGTAGGTGCTCTCCCCCGTCGCCTGGTTGTACCAGTACCAGTTGCCGGCCTCGTCCTGGTACTGGGCCCAGTCGCCGTTCGGGTCCGGCTCGGCGTACTGCTGCGCCTGGTCGTAGTAGGGCTCGACGGCCTGGCCGTACTCGTCGTACTGGACCACGGCCCCGCCGCCCTCGTCGTAACCGCCCTGCTGCTGGTCGTAGGGGTCCTCGTACTGGGACGCGCCCGTGGCCTGGTTGTACCAGTAGACGTTGCCCGAGTCGTCGTAGACCTGGGTCCACTCCTCGGCCTGGGCCCCGGGCTGGTCGTAGGTCGACTCGCCCGTCATGGGGTGAA